TGGTCCGGCAAGCCTGGGGCTGCTGATTCTTGATTGAGTTCCAGCCCCACTAAGAATTGAGCGTATGTTGTGTTCTGTTAACTTGTTTTGTTCTTTGTATTTTAAATTTTTTTAGTATTTTTAAATTGTTTTTATTAAGCCGCCCAGAGTCCTTCGGGATTGGGCAGCATACAAATTTATTAAATCTCAATCTCAAATTTGAGAAAGCTTTAAGCACTGACCTGGTCACCATCGTCTTAACTCAGGGGTCTCTAACCCTCGGTCTGTGGACTGGCACTCAGCTGCAGCATGCCAGCAACCGGGCCACGTAAACAAGCAAAACCCCATCCACGGGATGCCGGCGGCACACAATTCCCCCCCGCTCCAAAGTCCACAGAAAAACCTCTCTCTACAGAACCGGTCCCTGGTGCCCAAAAGATTGGGGGCCATTGCGTTAAGTCACTAGGAATTAAAATGCAGGCAGGCAAGGGAATGAATGGATCCGTGATGGCGAACCTATAACATGCCCTCTCTGTGGGCGCGTAAGCTGTCGCCCCAGTTCAACTCTGCTGCGCATGCGCGCGTGCCTCCCGCCGGCTGGGGAGCATGAGCAGGGGTGTGCGTGCATGCGGGGGGGGCACTTGTATGGGGGCACACATTGCATTTGGGGGGGTTGGGGACGCACGGGCACATTTGCGCACACTTTGGGCACTTGGTATGGAAAAGGTTAGCCATCCCTGGAATAGGTGCGCTTCCTATCCATCAGAATAAAAACACTAATTGGGAGATTGTCCCCAAGGGGCTGTTTTTTCAAGAGACAACAGGACTCTCTGGTAGAGCTGAAGAAGCTTCTTGGATGAGAAGTGAAACCTCTTCAAGGAAAAACCAAAAAGTCCTGTTGTCTCTTGAAAAAACAACCCCTTTGGGACAACCATGACCTGGGATGAGAGAGAATCTCCATCGACAATTGTGAGGTCACCAGCCATATCTCCACAGGCTCACAATTTCACCCACTGAGGATACGGCGTACACTGTACATCTATTCCTCGACTTGCAACCGTTTGCTTAGTAAGTTCAGAGTTCGCTTAGTAAGTTCCGAGTTACAACCGCATTGAAAAAAGTGACTGAGGACCGTTTTTTATACTTACGACCGGCGCAGCAGCCCTATGGTGACCTAACCAACATTCGGAGGCTCGGCAACCGACTCATATTTACGACGGTTTGCGGTGTCCCAGAGTCACGTGATCCCCTCTTGCGACGTTCTGACAAGCAGAGAGGGAGCCAGATTTCCTTAACAAGCGTGTTGCGGACTTAACCACAGCAGTTGATTCACTTAACAAGTCTGGCAAGGAAGGTCCTCAAGTGGGGCGAAACTCGCTTAGATCGCTGTCTCGCTTAGCAAAGGTCGATTTCGGGCTCAATTGTGGTCATATGTTGAGGACTACCTGTATAACTTGAAAAGACTCTTTAGGAGACTGCACTGAATAACAAATCAACTGCAATAATGAAGAAAACGCACCGATGCAAAAAAACGTAAGAGGGGTTCTCTTTGCAATTAACCTCCGTCTTGCATTTGTGTGGTTTGTGTGTTTGTGTGTGTGTGTGTGTGAGGGGGGCTCTCTGTGCATTCAGAGGCTGCCTTATTGCAGCCCCATCTGCTTTCTTATTCCTCAAACGAGCAGGGGCATCCATCCATTTAAAGAGCCTTAATCCTGTCTCGTTCCCTCGGATTTCACAGCCATTCTCTTCTGCATTCTTGAGTCTCTCTCTCCCCCTCTCCTTAAACTTAAGAAACTCACCAGTTCCCGCCCAGCCATTGACCCCCAGAATGGAGGGGGGAAAAAATCCCTAGGTGGAAAAGAAGGTGGAAATAGTGTTAAAAGCAGGAAGTGACCTAAAAAACCCATTTTACAATTCTTCTTCCTAGAAGGCACCCTAGGAATAGACGTCTCGGTCAATTTAACCCTTAAGAGAGATTTTCCCCGGTAAAACAGCATTCCGGGGGGGGGGGGGGAAAGACTGCAGATCAGATTTTTCTAAACCAGAGGCTCTCAAATGAAGCTGGATTGAAGCTGGATTGCCAGCCCCATCATCCCCAGAAGGTAGGCCCATATACAGCCTTTAGAGCGATGGGAGCTCTAGTCCAGCATTTCTGGAGGGTGGCCAAGTTGGTAAAAACAGATCAGCTTCGGCTCTCAAGCAGAAACTTTGTGCATAAATGTGATTTATGACAATCGACTCCAAATTGCGCCTGAGACTAATCCCCCGCGGGTTGCTCTAAAATCCTTGAATTCGGGAGAAACTTCCTAACAATGAGGACAATGAACCAGTGGAACAACTTGCCTTCAGAAGTTGTGGCTGTTCCATCACTGGTAGCTTTTAAGAAGAGACTGGATAACCACCTGTCTGTCTGTAATGGTATAGAGTCTCCTGCTTGAGTAGGGGATTGGACTAGAACAGTGTTTTTCAACCACTGTGCCGCGGCACACTAGTGTGCTGTGACATAGTGTAAGGTGTGCCGTGGGAAAATTACTTTATATATAGTCAATATAGGCACAGAGTTAATTTTTTTTAACATTTTCTAATGGTGGTGTGCCTCGTGANCAGAGTTAATTTTTTTTAACATTTTCTAATGGTGGTGTGCCTCGTGATTTTTTTCATGAAAAAAGTGTGCCTTTGCACAAAAAAGGTTGAAAAACACTGGACTAGAAGACCTCAAAGGTCCCTTTCAGCTCTATTACGATTCTGATTCTAAAATTTGGACGCTTGGCAATCAGTGTGTATTTATGATGGTTTCAGTCTTCTGGGGTTACACGTGATTGTCGTTTGAGACCATCCCAGTCAGCTACCGACAAACAAAGGTGGGGAACCCACAATCACATAACAACCAGGGCAAAAATGGAAAAATCTGGCACAACTCACAACTGCATCACTTAGTGAAAAAACCCCCAATCCCAATAGTGATTGTGAACCAAGGATTAGCTGTACTGTAATGCCATTTATCTTCAAGACCGTGCCAAAACATAGATACTTTCCATCTCCTTTTTCTCATGATCTGCTAGCATCAAAGCTTCTTTTTTTGTGTAACTTACACACATCTACGTCCCTAAAGAGTTGTTTCTATTTGAATCACAACACAAAATCTGCATTTCCCCATAATCAACCCAGCTCGTGGGTAAATTGATCTTTGACTTGAAAACACAGATACTGAATATGTCGACACATAACAAGCAAAGAAAAATTTAAAATAGGTTGGGGGGGGGAGCTAAGTTTTTACTTGGCGTTTCTACAATTATAAAGACAACAAACAACTGGGAAAATATATGATCACATTTATATGCTCAATTCATTGTTTTTAAATTCCCGTTCACCTGTTTTTCTTAACAGCTAGTAATTTATTTCCAAAATAAAAATGTTAATGTGACAGCAAAGAAAAACTCACATACTATATCTAAATATTGCCTATGTAAATCCTTCCGAGTGGAACCTGACTTTTCTCAAAGAACATCTAACATCCAAAATTAAGGGTGTCCCCTTTAAATTTTTGTGATATTAAAGTTGACCAAAAACTAGGGTGGATTTGATTTAAATCAAGTCGATTAAAATCACGATTTAAAACACTAGTAAAAAGGCTTGATTTAATTTTTTTTTAAATAGCATGTCATCCTGTAGTGGCTCATCCTCTGATCTGCTGTTGACTCATTCACAGTCCCAGTCACTTTAATGGGATGGCTGGTGATGCAGCAATGACACAAGGTGAGGGACATGGTGGGCAGCTGGGCAGCAGAATGGCTGCCCGCTAACAGGCACTGCCAGGATGGATCCGAAACGACAAATGCTCTTTAAACGTAAGGAGTCATTCTTGTTGGTAGTTCAAATCCTTAATATTATTATTTGCAAACAAAATGAAGGTTTCCTATTTAGAGTGCATGTTATCTCAGGTTGCAGAGCTCGGGATTCATTGAATGGGTTTATCAAAAATGTAAATATGGCAGAATATACAGCCTCATGTTGTCTAACTAAGCTCCGTTTCATGCTGAATAACTAAATTGTTAATGAATCTCAAACAGAAAACTATCTTTAGATGGGTTTTTATACTCCCAAAGCATTTTATTAAAATGAATTTGATAAAAATAAAAAAAAAATACAATTTAAATTTTTTAAAAATCATCGATATTTATCCACCCTGCCATATAACCTTTTAGGAAAGAAAATCCATGACAGTTTCTTAGGGTTATTATAAACTGCTCATTTTTGAACTTCCCTGAGGCTGGTGATTGGAGCTGTTTTCTACAGAGTAACCTTATCACAAGCACACATTTTTCCCCTCATCCAAGATAAATTTCTATTGATACGAGAGCTGTTATTACTGTACAGGTGGCCATCGACTTTACGATCAACAATTCAGCCCTGAATTTATGTTGCTGAGAAATTTGTTAAGTGAGTTTTGCCCCATTTTACGGCTCTTCTTGCCATAGTTGTTAAGTGAATCCCCTTAGTGGTTAAATGAGTAACCTGGTTGTTAAGTGAATCACCTTTTGCAACCTTCTGACAAGCAATTCAATGGGAAAACCAGATTCACTTAACAACCATGTGACTAGCTTGACAGTTGCAGTAATTCCCTTAACAAATGTGATAAGAAAAGTTGTAAAATGGAGCATAACTCACTTAAAAATGTTTCACTTAGCCACATAAATTTTGGGTTCAATTGTGGTCGTAAGTCGAGGACCACCTGTAAACCTGGATCCCAATATCCATCCCAGGAGATGGAGCTCCAAAACCTCAGGATCTCCCCTCCCCCACAGCCAAGACCCCATCTCTTAGACCTGCCAATCCAACTGAATCTCTCAATACATATACTCCTCACCTTGCAACCATTCATTTTGTAACCGTTTGGAGCTGCTACGGCACCGACACACAACCGCTGCTCCCACTTACGACCGTCGCAGCTTCCTTACGGCCACGTGATCAAAGTTGGGCGCTTGGCAACCGTTAATGTATTTATGACCATTTCAATGTCCAGAGGTCACTTCCCACAAGGTGAATCAACCGAGGGGAGCTGGATTTGTTCAATGACCGCACGATTCACTTAACAACAGGAGCGATTTGCTTAACCACCGCGGGAGGGGGAAAAAAGGAGTCATAAAATTGGGTGCAACTCGCTTAACGGCCACCTCTCTTAGCAATCTGATCCCCATTCTGGACATAAATCGAGGACTGCCTGCTTCTCTTACTC